ACAGTTGGCAGGTGGTCCCACAAAATCTAACATGGTATCAGAGCATGAGATTATGAGTTCAAATCTTTTTGGACCCAATTTGCCTCCCCAATTAAATATGTCCACGCTTAGTACTAGGCAAATAGACCAGACTAAGCATGAGGGAGAGTGTTAGAATAATTAAATATTAAATCACGCCTTCATTTAAAGGCTTAAGCGTTCAAAACAGTTGGCAAGTAGTCCCACAAAATCTAACAAATTGATTCCCCATTTCTGAAACATACGTATTTTGTTTCTCGGCTGTGCTGATAAGTTGAAAAGGCTGAACGTTTGAATGAGATAGACATCTTCTTGGAAGTTTTTGTTTTAATGCTTCTTTATTCTTTGTCAATGTAACAAAACAATAATTCTTAATTTCAGCTTCATTCGGTTAGTTTTGAAATGTCAAGTGTGCTCAATAAAGCATTAACCTGTGAGTGCAGAAGCCTGAGAGCTTGCCGGGATTGCCTCCTAGTGCTGATAGTGAGAGCTCTGCCAGTGCGTCACCTGCATCTGGTTCAAAATCATCACAAAGCAGAGTGATGTTCAGTGATATCAAGGATGGACAGAGGAAATCACTCAGCAGAAAAGGGGATGATGCTTCAGCTGTGGAGTCCTTTCCAGAAAGAACTCAAGCTGGTGAACTATTCAGAGCTGCTGTTGGAGGTCGTCGTCTTCCTCCAGTGAGTGGAAGTCTTCTTGCCAGTTATTTGCTCTTTATGTGTTGGGGGAGAAAAGACGGTGCTTATTTAGAATGAACTTAGATCTTATAGAAGAATTGATGCAGAATAAAGCGCAATGGCGGAAGGGCATTCATCCACATATCTTCACCTGAAAAATGAAGTTAAATTACGAAGAATTTGTGGTATCTTTGCATTCAATCTTACAGGATGCTAAAATTTTTTAATACTTGGACATGAACTTTTTAAATTGTGAGCTCCTACAGGTACAATCTGCGAATGCTGAATCATTTAACAAGTGCGTAAAATGTATGTATTTACTCTGAAGGAATGTGATGTATGAAATTGGACAGTAACTATGATTGGAAACCCCCTTTCTTGACTCTTGGAAATGAATTACCCACTTCTACTTGAAAAATCTCCATTACGCATTTAAGAGGTTTTGCACATGATTGCCTGAATTGAAATCCAGTATCTGTTTTATAGATCTGAATAGTTCCTTTCCAGCATTGTTGTATCACTGTTCCACATTTATTCTTATTCTGGTCCTTCTCTGCAATGTGCTGCTAACTCATAATACTGAGTCAGTCAGTGATCTGAAAATTTTTCATGAACCTACTCCGTGGTTCTTTCTTCAGAGCGGTACTACCATCACAGATCAAATGGATCTCCTCCGGGAGCAGGTCAAAATGTTGGCTGGGGAAGTGGCATTGTCCACCAGTTCGCTTAAAAGATTGTCTGAGCAAGCGGTTAACAATCCAGATGATTTGCAACTTATGGTATGGAACGCACGAGGAACTTCTTTCACTTGAAAATAAAAAAAACTGATTTGGATCTGATTCTCCTTCATGTTTTCTGTGGCCACCTTGGTTGATGCAGGAACACATGCAGAAGTTGAAGGATGAAATTCATGAAAAGAAGCTCCAGATGAGCATCTTGCAAAAGCGTATGATTGGATCACTTGAAACAGCTCCTCACACTTCAAATATGATTGAGATGTCTCAGGTTACCTCCTGCCATTTGATATTTACCAAGTTAGCAACCGATGGGAAACACGTGGGAGGAGTTTTGGGGGGGCGAGTTGGTTCATGTTTACTGACCATTTGGCATGAGTTAAGGCAGCCTGTTACTGTATTGCAGCCATCCAATGGAGGAAATACTGTATAAAGCCTTAAAAGTAAATGGACATGGATGACTTATAGGGTTGGCAGTTAGGTATCAAAATTCTTCCTCTAAACTAAACGATACAATTATAAAAACGATTGGTCGATAACGAGTAAAAGAAATTGGTCATTTTTTTTTAGTTATCTGGAATGAAGCAAATGCTATGACTTTATAAAGAGTGAGCAATCACTATATAATCCTCAACCAGCATTGGACCTTGGAAGGGGGCAGGGGCAGTACCCCCCTCGCAAAAATATCTTAAGTAATTCAAAAAAGATGATCTTGTCCCCAATCTAGAACTCGCAGTCCGCCATTGTCCTCAACAATGATGTGTCCCCATCACACGTGTGAATTAAAATGATCCTGTTTATGTTCTTTTTAATTTTATACATCGCCAGCATTGGCAGATTGGTAAAGGAGTGTCGGGCACAATGATTGGAACTTGTGACATTATGTTACTCTTACTTTTCTATGATTAGCTGCTTCCATAAGAATGCCATTTGTTTCTCATTTCTCTTCAATATAAATATTTGATTACCTGAAGCAAAGCTCTTTATTTGGTTACCTGAAGCAAAGAAACTCTTTGCCTACACATTTTCATCCTGAACTGAAGCTTGGCTCTTTCCATTAAGTTGCCGAGAGTGCTCATTCCCCACTCTTCCTGGATTCATGAGAATTTGTTTTTGGAACAGGGTGTTCTTAGTTCAAACTTTACTTGTGCGCTGGCGAAAAAAAATGATTATAGAATTACAACCAGAATTGTTCTATTTTTTGATTTCTTGATTACGTAGCTTTCCTGAATAAGTGGCATTTTGCATGTTGCGCAGGCTCTGTCAAAGCTCACTACACAGCTAAATGAGAAGACTTTTGAGCTAGAGGTTTGTTGCAATTTCTGAATGGTTTTAAAATAATATAGACAGTTACGACTATTCTGCTTTGTCAATTAAGTCTGCTTCCGATGTATTTCCCAGATTAAGACTGCAGATAATAGAATACTACAGGAGCAGTTGCAGACAAAGGTAAATAACTAACCTTCCGTGACATTTTTTGCGTAAAATTTTGTGTTTCCAATTATTTGGTAACCATACTTCGAAATAGATGTCAGAGAATGCTGAGATGCAGGAGACAATTCTTATGCTAAGGCAGCAGCTCAATCTATTATCGAATAAAAGTTCTGCCAGTGAAAAACATAGTGCTGAGAGTGAGCCTACCTCGTACAAAACTGGATCTGGAGATTTACTAGGAGTGAACCGGATTGGCTCATGTGATGAAAATTGCATTGACGAAAACACTCCCACTAGTGTCATCAACCTAAACAGGGTATTTTCCCAGGAGGATTCAAGAGATTGTGGCAATGATGCTTTTCTAAATTCCCAGGTCCTTATGCAGGTCATTCTCCTTCAATCCCATTGTTTCCTATGGCTTTCCTTCTCAAGTTATGCTCTGATCTTCCTTTTCTTGTTTGTGCAATCAGCTTCACATATTCTGTGTCCTTTGACCTTAGTATTACGGTGCAGATTGAATTGTGCATCATGTACAACACACAACTTGTAGTATCCTAAAAATTTTGTTCCATACAAAAATACAGGCTGCAGAGATAGAACATTTGAGACAAGAGAAGTGTAGACTCAGAGAACAAAAGGATGGACTTGAAATTCAGATCCAAAAGCTCGCAGAGGAAGCTTCCTATGCAAAGGAGTTGGCTTCTGCAGCAGCAGTTGAACTCCGTAACTTGGCTGATGAAGTTACTAAACTTTCCTTTGACAATGCAAAACTAAGGGGGGACGTGGCTGCCGCAAAAGAGGATTCATGCAGGCACAAATGTTGCACCCTATCTGATGACTATCCCGGAAAACCAGATGGAGCTTTAATCAATGACTTGCAGAGGGAATTAGATGCAACACATAAGAAAGAGGCAGACCTGGAAATCACAGTTTCAGAAAAAAATATACTGTTATTTGAGCTGAGGAGAAAACTGGATGAAGCAAAACAACGTGAAGAGAATTTGGAAAATGAGCTAGCTAATTTGTGGGTTCTGGTTGCAAAGATAAGAAAGTCTGGCGATGATGCCCACAAGAAGATGAGTCAAGGGGTCCCTATCTCAGACAAGCAAGGAAGAGCCAGAAATGGGATTCTTCTATGTAATGGTCACTCTCGAGGAATGTCCCAGTCAGATGAAATCTCTGACGAAATGGATGAGCCAAATACTTTGGAGCGATTAAAAGCTAGCTACCTTAAAGAAAGCAAACGATGCAGAGAATTGGAGAGTACAATTTCCAGATTAAAGGTAAAATATCTAAAACCATATAAAAATCTTTCGAAGAAGTTAGTTACCTGCTATACCAGTCTTAGGCATTAGTCTAGACCATTGGGCGTTGTTAGTGGGTCCATGTTCCATAGTTAGATATTACAGCTAAACCCTAACTCTATTAATTCTAGGGTGAGGATCTTTCCGGCCTAGATGTCGCTGTCTTGGAGGAACTGCAGAACCTCCATGTTGAGGCCATAACAAAGATTTGCCACGCAAAGGTGCCCTTTTGCCATATGCATGAGTTTCTTTTATGGTTCTCGTTGATGTGTACTACTTCACGATGCTCAAAGTCATTGCATGCTTTGCCCTCAATCTAGTAAATCCGTTTGCATCTCATTCCTTATTTCAAAGAATGTGTAGATATGGTTCCTCAGCACTGATTCTGACTTGAATAGCATTTTTGTTTGTGCCTAATACAGTGTGCAAGTCGTATCTTTGCAAACTGAGGTTTACTTTTTGCCGTCTCGAGCAAATGGAGATTAAATTATGAGGTTGGTGCCAGCTTTTCTTACTAATATGTGCGGAAGTGGTCATGACATTGTCTGATGAGATTCTCAATCCCATTTCTTGCAGGTTTCGTCTAGCTGTAGGGTGGTATCGTGTACAGTCGTTGAAAAGTTGAAAGAACTAACATATTGATATCCACTAGGGGTCTCCGACAGGTTTGTTGCGCAAGCAAATAAGCGAGGAGATCAAAGGAGCTCTCTCTCTCTCTCTCTCTCTCTCTCTCATATATCTACTGACACATTCTCGATCAGCCAAAGACTGCTTTTCAAAGGAAGCAAGTCGCTGGACTCAACTATCTTAAGATACCAAAATAAGCTGCATAAGGCTCAGAAAAATTACCATTATAATCATGACCCGCACTGTTAATTAATCAGGAAAAGAATTCCTGGTGAGAAAGTACACAGCGCATTATTATTTAATAATAAAAATTAACTCAGAACAGATCAGGGTTCCGGAAGCATGGCACAGTTTGCCGAAACCCATCCAATCTGCTTCTTCTCATTGTCGTAGATCACCATTTTATCTTGCATGGAAATGTCTGCAAACAGCAAGCGATAAGCATGTCAAATCTGCGAAAGCAATTGCATCGACATCCACTGATCTAAGCTCTATGAATTGCTTTTTACCTCCTATTATACTGGGCTCTCGTGGTCCCTTTTTCTTGACTTCGTAAATTCCCAAGCATGCAGCACCAATATTCTGGGGTAAAAAACTGAGCCTCAACTCATCGCGAACAAACTATAGGAATGAGTTGCTGTGCACTTGCACGATAAAAAGAGAAGAAATACAAGCTTACACTGATGATGAGATAATCCTCGGGCAGCAACTGGAGTTGGGCATTTCCTTTCATAAAGCTCAACGCTAGAGGCATGAAGTAATTCTTGACCTCATTCACGTTCTGGAAAGGTTTTGCTCCCTTCCAGCATATTGGAAATCCCTCGTGCCCATCTACTTTTTCCAGAGGCTTTCCCTTCAAATCTGCCCTTACCTAACATGTGAAATTGGGGAATTACTCACTAAGAAGGTTACTCGAATCTAAATTTCAACAAAAAAATGTCTAGTTTCCAGCAAACCTTGTCGACCACAGCTGCATAAGCCTCAGTATTAAAATAATTGACGGAGGTTCCACTGTCAAAAACCACTTGAAGACCGCCTACTCCAGTAGGCTTACCATTGTGCAAGAGTTCCGCAGGTCCTGCTTCGTAGTAGGGCTTGCTGAAACAATTCATTTCGTCAAGTCCTCAAGATTTCAGCAAGATATAAAATCTGAACAAAAATTAGCCGAACGAGATAAGATGGAATGGTTACATACGTCAATGAACCAGCTGAAAATGGTACCCAGGCAATTTTCGAAGAAGGGACGAGATCACCTCCCAAGAACAGGAAGCCTCCACCTTGAGCGCTCAGACAGTGACCTAGTACATTTTGTATCGCGTTGACGCTAACTAATTGAGACAGGATGCCAACTTTGCCTTTGCCAAGGCCAAGGAGACCAGCGTTGGTAGTACTAGGAGATGTGTCACCGGCATTTTGTTCATATGCACATCTTCGGGAGACATCATAAAATCAGTAGCAAGTCAGAGATAACGCCATCTGGACAGTAGCGACTCAAAGAACACGAATGAAAACTTGTAGGAATAAATTCTCACCCAAAGGTCAAACGTGGCTTGAGGGTAGACCCGTCCCTTAATTTCAGGGAGAAAGAGTCACTGACGAGAGAACCAGTAGATGAACTTCCCTCTAAATATCGCACCTTATATGGACAATGATCTCTGGGGAGCCTACGTCGTTGGTTTGTAGATCTAGGTGAGGCAGCGCAGAGAGGGTCCGAACGGAGCACAAAGTTGTTATGAGGCTTGTAAAGATGTTCGGGATCCTGTTCGTATAAGATAAGCAAACATCAAGATAACAAAACCCCTGCCACGGAAAACCTCACTAACAAAATAATAAGCTAGTGGCACGGTTAAACTCGACAGCATTCTCTTGTTGTATTCACAAGAAATGGAATCCAGCAGCTTAGCCCTTTGAGATAATCCAAGCATACCACAGCAAGGACAAACTCTCGATCATGTCAAACAACTTTACCTGAGTGCACCCGGTACAAGAAAGATCACACTCAACCCAAGTTAAGACACTGCCAGTGTCAATGTCCATTTTAAAAGCCTTGCCACCAATGTCGATCGACACAGAAAAGTACCTGAATGTCACGGTGACAAAAATTCAATGACCGTCATCATAATCGGCATACTCAGAAAGTTGACGTCAAGGATGTACACAATAAAGCACTGTCAACTTTTCTTTCTGGCTAATGACATTACAAGATTCACTTGTCTAAATTAGTAAACAGTAGCGTCCAAAAGATGATCGGAGAAGAGAAAGCGGTACGTACTCATCAGGGTAAACTTTTCCGGCGAGAGGAAGGACGAGGGAGGAGCCGGAGCGAGAGGGGGTGTTGTTCCAGAAGTGAGGAACATCGGCGGAACAGCCTTGAAGAGTGGCACTCACCAAGACCCAGCAGAGCACGGTGACCATAGCCTTTTTTGATTTGCCCAGACTACCCATCTTTCGATGGATTCTGGTCTTGGTTTTTGGTGTTGGAGGAGAGATTGAAGTTTCGAGTTTTGGAAACGACGGTGGTGGTGGTGAAGAAGGAGGAGGGGGGTGGGGGAGTTTGGTGGTAATGGAGGGAGTGGAGTTATATAGTTGTGTGCGGGGCCGTGAATGGGAATGGAAGAACGACGACGGAATGAGGATGACATGATGGGCATATCTATTTGCGGCTTCAACCTCAACCTCAAAGACCCAGCAGACCATTGATGGTTATTTTTAATGTGTGTGTGTGTGTTTGAACAGAGATACGTGCGCGAACGGCAGTGGAAGAAGAAACGAGTGTGATGGTGGGAGAGCAAGAAGCAGAGGAGAAAATGAGCGAAAGAGGGGAGTTTATAAAATTGGAGTCGATTAACGTGTGTGGATGACAACGCAACATGCATTACTCTACTTCAAGCATGCAAAAAAGAGAAAAGGTTATAAATGTCTTGGAAGACCCAAGCTTGGTCTTGCCAAGCAGAAGGAATATTGAACAAATGGAGCCTTGACTAATGGAGACAAAGCATTAAATGCTCTCCAAACTTAGCCATGATGCATGCACACGTTGAATGAGTATGCTCGGAGACAAGCCAAAGCAAAAGTTCTTCTCTGCATTAAAGCATTTATTGTAAATTTCAATTATGCTGCTGACTGGGTCGTTTTGACCTTCGAGAAAGTGTAAGTGGAGTATTCGTATCTTCTGTGAAGTGCTAAAGAGGGTCCAAGTCCGTTTCATGTCAAATCACACCAATAAAAGACTTTAATCGCGTTAATTTTTTTTTTTTTTTGATAACCCAGGGAACCCCCGCACGGCCGACAGCCGGGAAGTAAACACTGGGGGCGACACGTGCTAGCCACCACACACGTGCCACTGGTTAAGTCACCCTGCGGCGCCCGGGATTCGAACACTCAACCTTTTGCGAGAGGAAGAGTGCGCGTTCCAGCAGCGCCACCCAGGCGGGTGGTTAATCGCGTTAATTTATACAGAGAAAATTATAAAAAAAAAAGAATCTTAAACTAATTATATTTTTGTTTGTTTAGTCCTAAATCTTTCAATTATATCAATTTAGTCATAAATCTTTTCACGTTTTATTAATATAGTCCATTTGATCAATTTTGATCGGAAGTTACTGACGTGTTCGATGGTTATCTTACATGTCATGGACGACGCTAAAATAGACAAAAATTTTTAACTAGACATTTGTAGAGAATGGAATGAGTTTCATTTTGATAGGTTGTACGGCCGAACACAGATCAGTTGCTAGGGATAAAACCCTCAAAATCCGGGTATCTCTTGCTGGTTTCGTGGTCTGGAAAATTCCAGATTGAATATAGTGAAATTTTATTAGGGTTTTGAGGTTCTTAATGTAAAATTCTAGAAAAGTGATGAAAAAGGGCTTCTTAAGCTTTCCAACGAGGAAGATTTAATAATTTTCTAGGTTGATTTGCTTTGGCAAAAAGGTCTTCCATTTAATGGTCACTCACGAGGAATGCCAGTCACATGAAATCTCTAGAAATGGATGGGTCATATACTTAGGAACGATTAAAAGCTAGCTACCTTAAAAAAAAAGCGAACGATGCAGAGAAAGGAGTGTACAATATCCGTATTAAAGGTAAAATATCTAAAACCATATAAAAACCTTTTGAAGAAGTTAGCAATCAGCTATAAGAGTTTTCGGCATTAGTCTAGATCATAGTGTGCTGTCAGTGAGTTCATGCACTAGAGTCAGATATCATAGCTAAACCCTAACTTTATTAATTCTAGGGTGAGGATTTTTCCGGTCTGGACGTCGCTGTCTTGGAGGAACTGCCAAATCTTCATGTTGAGACCATAACAACGATTTGCCATGCAAAGGTGCCCATTTGCCAAATGCATGATTTTCTTTTATGGTTATCGTTGATGTGAACTACTTTATGATGCTCAAAGTCATTGTATGCTTTGCCCTCAATCTTCGCAATTGGTTTTCATCTCATTCCTTATTTGTTATTTCAAAGTTGGTGTAGATATGGGCACCACGGTGATGGTTCTGACTTGAATAGCATTTCTGTTTGTGCCTTACGCAGTGTGCAAATCGTATCTTTGCAAACTGAGGTTGACTTTTTGCCGTCTAGAGCATATGGAGATTAAATTATGAGGTTGGTGCCAGCTCTTCTTACTAGAAGTGGTCGCAGCATCGTCCAATGAGAATCTCCATCCCATTTCTTGCAGGTTTCGTCTAGATGTAGGGGGGGTATTGTTAATGTGCACTGTCATTGAAAGGTTGAAAGAACTAATACATGATTTTTTTTTTTGGGAAATGAGCAGCTCACGGTGGCTATCATACATTAAAACTAACGGCGGCTTGTCCACAGCCTAATATTCTCAAGGAAACTGCTTAACTTATTTAACTGGTTTTTCTTGAGAAAATTAGAATTGAAACTCTCACATGGTGAGATTTCCTCAAATCCCACTACGTCAGATTTTATGAATATGAAGAAAGAAAAAACAACACAAGGAAATAAGCAAATTGAATAACATAACATAGATAATCACCGATGTTGGAGGAGAGATTGAAGTTTCGAGTTTTGGAAACGACGGTGGTGGTGGTGGTGAAGAAGGAGGAGGAGGGTGGGGGAGTTTGGTGGTAATGGAGGGAGTGGAGTTATATAGTTGCGTGCGGGGCCGTGAATGGGAATGGAAGAACGACGACGGAATGAGGATGACATGATGGGCATATGTATTTGTGGCTTCAACCTCAACCTCAAAGACCCGGCAGACCATCGATGGTTATTTTTAATGTGTGTGTGTGTGTTCGAACAGAGATACGTGCGCGAACGGCAGTGGAAGAAGAATGAGTGTGATGGTGGGAGAGCAAGAAGCAGAGGAGAAAATGAGCGAAAGAGGGGAGTTAATAAAATTGGAGTCGATTAACGTGTGTGGATGACAACACAACATGCATTACTCTACTTCAAGCGTGCAAAAAAGAGGCAAGGTTATAAATGTCGTGGAAGACCCAAGCTTGGTCTTGCCAAGCTGAAGGAATATTGAACAAATGGGGACTTCACTAATGGAGACAAAGCATTAAAGGCTCTCCAAACTTAGCCATGATGCATGCACACGTTGAATGAGTATGCTCGGAGACGAGCCAAAAAAAAAGTTCTTCTCTGCATTAAAGCATTTATTGTAAATTTCAATTATGTTGCTGACTGGGTCGGTCTTGACCTTGGAGAAAGTGTAAGTGTAGTATTCGTATCTTCTGTGAAGTGATATAGGGGTCCCAGTTTGTTTCATGTCAAATCACATCAGTAAGAGACTTTAGTCGCATTGATTTACACGAAGAAAATTATAAAAGAAGTGTTAAATTAGTTGTATTTTTTTTTTTTTGGTAAGGGTGTTAAATTAGTTGTATTTATGTCTATTTAATTCTAAAATTTTTAATTATATCAATTTAATTTTAAACCTTTTCACGTTTTGTCAATGTAATTCATTCGGTCAATTTTAATCGAAAGTCATTGACGTGTCCAATGGTCATCTTACATGTTATAGGCGACGCTAAAGTAGATAATTTTTTAACTAGACATTTATAGAGAATGGAATGAGTTTCGTTTTGATAGGTTGCACGGCTGAACAAAGACCAGTTGCTAGGGATAAAATCCTCAAAATCTGGGTGTCTCTTGCTGGTCTTGTGGTCTGGAAAATTCCAGATTGAATATAGTGAAATTTTATTATGGTTTTGAGGTTCTTAGGCTGTGTTCGTTTGCGGAAAAATATTTTTCTGGAAAACATTTTCCGCGTTTTTCGGTGTTCGGGGGCGGAAAATGTTTTCCGTGGGAAAACATTTTCCTTCCCCACCCCCAAATCCTTCATTGTTTTGAGGAAAATGATTTCCTTTTTTCACAAAGAGGAAATCATTTTCCCCCAAATTGAAGGCAAAATTGCCCATGGGAGGGAAAATGCTTTCCGCGGGAGAGGAAGTTGATCGTCGGTCACCTCAGTTGGCCGCAAGCCACCCGCCGGTATGTCGTCGATCTTGAGCCGCCCGCTGAGCCGCCGCCGGCCTCACGCCCACCCTGCGCCCGCCCGCCCTCTCGCTCGCCCATGCCCGCCGCCCGCCGCCGCCGCTCGCCGCCCCAGCAGCCGCCGCCCGCTAGCCGGCCGCCCGCCGCCCGCCCGCCCCCGGCCGCCCGCCCGCCGGCCGCCGCCGCCGCCGCCCGCCCGGCCGCCCGCCCGCCGGCCGCCGCCCGCCGCCCGCCGGCCGCCGCCCGCCGGCCGCCCGCCCGCCGGCCGCCCGCCGGCCGCCCGCCGCCCGCCCGCCGGCCGCCCGCCCGCCGGCCGCCCGCCCGCCGCCGCCCGCGGCCGCACCGCGGCCGCCCGCCGGCCGCCCGCCGGCCGCCCGCCGCCGCCCGCCGGCCGCCCGCCGGTCGCCCGCCGCCGCCAGTCGCCGGTGAAAAATATTTTCCGAAACTTTTTCATATTGATCGCCGAACACCGGAAAATTATGTTCCGGGAAAATATTTTCCAAAAGGAGAATATTTTCCGCCAAACGAACGGAGCCTTAATGTAAAATTCTAGAAAAGTGATGAAAAAGGGCTTCTTAAGCTTTCCAACGAGGTAGATTTAATAATTTTCTAGATTGATTTGCTATGGCACAAAGGTCTTCCATTTAATGGTCACTCACGAGGAATGCCAGTCACGAGAAATCTCTAGAAATGGATGAGCCATATACTCGGGAACGATTAAAAGCTAGCTACCTAAAAAAAAAAAAACCGAACGATGCAGAGAATTGGAGAATACAATATCCAGATTAAAGGTAAAATATCTAAAGCCATATAAAAACCTTCCGAAGAAGTTAGCAATCAGCTATACGAGTCCTAGGCATTAGTCTAGACCATAGTGTGCTGTCGGTGGATCCATGCACTAGAGTCAGATATCACAGATAAACCCTAACTCTATTAATTCTAGGGTGAGGATTTTTCCGGTCTGGACGTCGCTGTCTTGGAGGAACTGCCAAATCTTCATGTTGAGACCATAACAAAGATTTGCCATGCAAAGGTGCCCATTTGCCAAATGCATGATTTTCTTTTATGGTTATCGTTGATGTGCACTACTTTATGTTGCTCAAAGTCATTGTATGCTTTGCCCTCAATCTTAGTAATTAGTTTACATCTCATTCCTTATTTGTTATTTCAAAGTTGGTGTAGCTATGGGCACCACGGTGATGGTTCTGACTTGAATAGCATTTCTGTTTGTGCCTTGAGCAGTGTGCAAATAGTGTCTTTGCAAACTGAGGTTGACTTTGTGCCATCTAGAGCACATGGAGATTAAATTATGAGGTTGGTGCCAACTCTTCTTACTAAAAGTGGTCGTAGCATCGTCTGATGGGAATCTCCATCCCATTTCTTGCATGTTTCGTCTAGATGTAGGGGGGTATTGTTATTGTGTATGGTTATTGAAAGGTTGGAAGAACTAATACATGACTTTTTTTTTTTGGGGAAATGAGAAGCTCACGGTGACTGTTATACATTAAAACTAACGGCGGCTTGTCCACCGCCCAATTTCTCAAGGAAACTGCTTAACTTATTTAACCGGTTTTTCTTGAGAAAATTAGAATTGGAAACTCTTGCTTGGTGTGATTTCCTCAAATCCCACTACGTTAGATTTTATGAATATGAAGAAAGAAAAAACAACACAAGGAAATAAGCAAATTGAATAACATAAGATAGGTAATCACAAATAAAAAAAATTATCACTAGCTCAAAAGAAATATTTATTTATTAAATTTCAAAGATGATAATCACTTCACTCATTGCTGACAAATTTAAATGTGTGAAAAAATAGATTATATTTTTTTTGTTAAAGAAAAAATAGATGATCATAAGTAGAACGATATTATCAAATTTTTCCCATAAATCTTGGGTAATTAGGAGAAATCTTTGACGTGGCATGTTTGGGAGGCATATGAGGAGAAGTTGGTAACGTGGCAGAGAAGAATGACAAATAGTACGATCAATTCGGTGAAACAAATAGGAAAAGTAGGAGGAGATGATTCCAGTTGCCCATCTCTCGGAAACTTAAATTTATGGTCACAAAACCACCGTTAGATAATCTAGCACCCTCTTTTTTTTTTTTTTTTTTTTTTTTTTTCGTTTGAGCGTTAGCTAGGTCTTCGACAGGTTCCCGCACAAGCAAATAAGCACGGAGATTTTTTGGTCGGAATAAGCAAGGGGATGAGTGGGATGTTTTTGGTTGTAGATTGTAACATAATGTTCTGCGCTTTTCTATGACAAATAACATGTATTGCCCCTGTTAATGTAGGGCTTATGGCAATTACATCTGCAGACAAGCGAATTTACAACAGGCAAAGGATATAATCTTTGTAATCCCTATCTTTGCAAAAAAAAAAAAAATACATGTACAGCCCGTAACATCAAAGTAATTCTCTCTCTCTCTCTCTCTCATATACCTCATACGTTCTTCATCAGCCAGAGACTGCTCTTCAGAGGAAGCAAGTCGCTGGACTCAACTATCTTAAGGTACCAAAATCAGCTGCATAAGGTTCAGAAAAATCACCATTATATTCACGATCCGCAATGTTGATAAAGAGGAAAAATGTTCCTGGTGAGGAAGTCCACAGCGCATCATTATTTAATAAGGAAAAAACTGGATGAAGCGGAAGCTGCAGAACAACGTGAAGAGAATTTGGAAAAGGAGCTAGCTAACTTGTGGGTTCTGGTTGCAAAGATGAGAGTCTGGAGATGATGCTGGCGACAAGATGAGTCAAGGGGTGGTCCCTATCTCTGATCGGCAAGGAAGAGCTAGAAATGGGATTCTTCCACGTAATGGTCACTCAACAGGAATGCTACAGTCAGATGGAATCTCTGATGAAGTGGATGAGCCAAATGCTTTGAATCTATTAAAAGCTAGCTACCTTAAAGAAAGCGAACGATGAAGAGAATTGGAGAGCACTATTTCTAGATTAAAGGTAAACTATCTAAAACCATATAATAATCTTCTGCAGAAGTTAGCTATTTGCAATACCGATCTTAGGTAGTAGTCTAGATCATTATGTACTGTCAGTGGGTTCATGCTCAAGAATCAGATATTATAGCTAAATCCTAACTGTATTAATTCTAGGGTGAGGATCTTTTCGGTCTGGATGTCATTGTCTTGGAGGAACTGCAGAACCTTCATGTTAAGGCCATAACAAAGATTTGCCATGCAAAGGTGCCCTTTTGCTATATGCATGATTTTCTTTTATGGTTCTCGTTGATGTGTCCTACTTCATGATGCTCAAAGTCATTGGACACTTTGCCCTCGACCTAATAAATTGGTTTGCATCTCATTCCTTACTTGTTATTTCAAAGATGGTGTAGATATGGCTCCACAACACTGGTTCTGACTTGAATAGCATTTCTGTTTGTGCCTATGCAGTGTGCAAGTCGTATCTTTGCAAACTGAGGTCTACTTTTTGATGCCTCGAGCAAATGAAGATTAAATTATGAGATTGGCGCCGGTCTTCTTACTAATATGTGGGGAAGTGGTCATAGCATTGTCCGATGAGATCCTCCATCCCATTTCTTGCATGTTTCGTCTAGAAGCGGGGTGGTATTATGTAGAGTCATTGAAAGGTTGAAAGAACTCTTTAACATATTGATATCCGCTAGGGGTCTCCGACAGGCTTGCCGCACAAGCAAACAAGCAGGGAGATGAGTAGGATGTCTTTGGCGGTAGATTGTAACATAATGTTCTGCACTTTTCTATGACAAAAAACATGTATTGCCCCTGCAAATATAGGGCTTATGGCAATTACATTTGCGGACCAGCGAATTTACAACAGGCAAAGGATATAATCTTTGTAATCCCTATCTTTGCAAAAAAAAAAAAAAACATTACAATCCGTAACATTTTCCGTGAAACAAACGCCGCAAAACATTTTTCTGAAAATTGTTTTCCGCAAAACGAGCCGAACCTTAGGGTGCGTTGTTTTGTGGAAAGTGTACAATTTCTGAAAAATACTTTCCAAGAAGTCACTTTTTAGGAAAATGAGTTCATTTTTTTATGTTTGGCTAAAACCTAAAAAAAACTTGGAAAGTATTTTCAGTTGTTTGATGAGGAAAATATGATTGTGAAAATTGTAAAAAAAATTGTATTTTTTTAAATTAATTGTTATTTTTATTAAGAAAAGAAAATACATGAATGTTTTCCTTCTTAGAAAGAAAAGAAAGGAAAAAAAAAGAAAGAAAAGAAAGAAAAGAAAAGAAAAAATATTAACAAATGCAAGATGAGGAATCCCATAAAATGTTTTCGCCTTCTTATATTAAGGAATTCACTTTCTTAATTTTATACATGAATATTTTTCTTGACTAACAAGTGTTTTCAATTGATTTACCATTTTTTGCGAACCAAACGGATAAAAGTTCGGAAAATAGATTTCCGTAAAAACATTTTCCCTCGTACAAACTCACCCTTAATTACTATTATTTGTTGGTTTTTTTTTCACAACCTCCAAGATTTAATGCTCCGTTTGCTTCGCCAATTGAATATCTAAAACATATTTTTCATCGTCGACAACACTTACTTTTCGTCCATTCATTTTTTTCAGTAAACAATATGAGAGATTATTTTTAAGAAGATATTTTTAAAATTATTCAACTTTTTGCGAAACAAATTGAGTGAGTGAATGCCTTTTTCTTTTTTCAATGGCGAAGAAATCATTGGGAGGGGTTTCGCTGGTAAATTTCTATGATTTACTAAAATCCCAGGTCCGACTCTTAGGTCGGGTTTGATGAACCAGATATAACTCTGGATATGATCATTTATATCCAATATGGTGTTTGGGGTAATGTGAAGTCTCGTCTATGTCCGAATATAGCCCTAATAAAAAAATCACACTTAAGAGATGGGATAAAGCCGGATAAAATAAGCATTAAAAAAATGAAAAGAAAAAAAAATTGTAAGCTAAAGCAGAGGGAAAGGATTTGCCGGCCCATCCTACTGCACCTTCCCCAGCCATTCCGACCACGTCGACCGCCAATCGGTACCTTCAATCGTGTTCCCAAATCGAAGCTTCCCCTTCGACGTCTCCACCTTCGCCCAAATCGATGCCTTCCTCGACATGAACACCTTGGCACGTCGCAGAAATTTTCAGCCCTAAAGTAGCTACAATTGTTTGGAATGGTAAAGATTCGAGTTATCGAACTTCCTCCGAGTTTTGCTGCAGAAATTTTCTTGAACTTGAAGATCTTCTCAGGATTGAAGTAAAAAAAGAAGAAGAAGAAAATGGAGCAAAACAGAGGTGTTTCGAAACTCTTCCCATGTAGGCAAATCTGCAAATCTTTCTCTTCTCTCTCCCTACCCACTTTCACGATCTAGATCGTGCGTCGCCCGCCCGTTTTCTCGTTCTCTTGTTCATCTGCGAAGACTCAGCCTTGCCGACGATCGAATGAACCCCAGATCATAGGTTGCCCAAGACCGACAACACCATCCGAGGCGACACAAGGCCGCAAGGGTCGTAGTTTCGAGAATCGAGACGGGACAGAGATGGCGGCGGATTGGGGTGGGGCACAAGTCGGTGATTGGGCGACGCTAGGGGACGCGAAGATGACGGGCGACGGCACAGTGAAGTGAGGCGGTGTGAGAGCGGCTTGATAGGTGGCGGCGGAAGGCAACGGCGATTTTGGGTTGATGACAATATGGCAGATGTGGAGGTGGAAAGAGAATAACCTGTGTTTTGGTAAATTGACGCCCCGAATCCACCACCACAGGAGCTTTTCCTCCGGGCTCTAAAACGACTGGTGTTAGGCGCTTAGCCGCAGCAGCAGCAGCAGCAGCCATCACAATCTGCCCCACCCTGCCATTACCTGCAAAGACAAGTTTCATTTTAGCTGTGAAAATTCCCCTAAAGCTTATGAAGACCGCCTTCTGCATGAATTGCCCCAAGACCAATTATTCTAGAAGCTCAATGATATCTGCCAAATATAACTTCCAATTCTTCCTAGACAGTACACAATAGCACAAAAGACTCTCTCGGTCCAAGCTCAGGGTACAAAACCTAAGTTGGAAATGGACCTTTTACACTGGACAGTCAGATGCAATGAAAAGTCAGGAATGGCTGGAACAAGTCAACGCACGTAGAGTGAAGATAATGATGTTTGATAAGGTAAGCTTTCAATTATTCATACTCCTTCACAGTAATATTAAACCTAGCGAACTGCTACTATTGCCTGCTGGTTGGTTATTGGTTTTCTAGCTTATTTTCTATGGAACCGGTGATACCACTGTTTCATGATTAATCCTACTGAAAAGGATCTCAAGCTAGACTAAAGAGAAGGGTCTCAGTTCATATCCAATCAAAATGCAGAATATCTCCTCAATGGTGTAGAGTATACAGTACATCTGCCCCTCTCCAGATGACATCTCCTTCATTTTGTCATTCCCATTGAAATACAGAGTATACCCAATAGTATATCCAAGGAGCACATGGCATCCCAATATAATCAAAGAAACTACTATATATTTCAGAATAAATTAACATACCCTACAAAGTAGGCAGAAATCAAAGAAAATTCATTTTTGCCCCAAATTTATTGACCAGCACAGAGGTAGAAGTTGTTCATCGATTCAGGAATGAACAACTATTCCAATAGTCATCTGCAACCGGAAGTGCCAAGGAATCGTTCTCAATTAGTGACTTTGAGTTTGGATGCAGCTAATTGGTATCCTATACTCGGCACAAAATTTTTTGAGATCATATTGCCAAGGGGGAGGGGGAATCTCTTCCCCCTTTCAAATTTTAGTTACTAATCCCAAAGTGCATACTCCAATTTTCTCCTTGTCATATTATCTCAAGGGCTCTTTTTTTATGACATTGTAATCCACCTAAATTGAATAAACCCCAAACCCATTAAATAACACACTAACCTCATTCATTGGGTAAGATGCGACCTAAAACCCCAGTGGGTGGCTCTAAAATAAGTTTATTTGCACCTAATGATGTGGGAAATCCCACTTGTGTCATCCACCCCGATCCAGGCTTAGAGATCCACTCCTTAACCATTAAACTGACCCCATGGAAATCGACCTTAACAAACTTTGTATTTTTCACTCATTTTTCACTTGCTCGTTCTCATATTACTGAAATAAAGTGATGACAATAGATGTAGCTGTCAAGGAAAAAAAAGAGAGGCAAAGTACATAGGAAAAAAAAATTAGCAGTTAAATTATTGTTTATCCCCAAATCTTGAAATTTTCACTTTTTGATTTCCCGTTAAAAAAAACAAGAAGATCAAAGTTGTCGTGGGCAATTGATGTGAAAAGTGCAAGTTATTAGTAACTTAGTTCGTTGGACATATTCAAGGGGAGCTACTGTTAGAGAAATTTTTCAATATAAGCTAAGTTAAGTCTAATCTTAATATCATTTGAAAGAAATAATGAAGCAACATGTGAAATAACCTGTATAAAATATTTTGTCCCACTTTTGCTCCAACAGTGCGGTTGTTTCAGCAACAGCTCCCTCAACAACCCTAATTGAAGAGCTATCCATATACTCCCCTAACAATTTTGCAAGCAATGCTGATGTGGCTGGTGCTATCTCTGAAGGTTTCAAAACAACAGCATTGCCTGCTGCAATAGCTCCAACAACTGGATCGAGAGACAACACTGACAAATAGTGAAGAAAAAATGTTGGAACCACAAAAAGATTAGTAAACGAGACAAAAGACGCGAGGATAATACAAAGAATAAGACATGTCTCGTACAGTAAGGATAATTCCACGCTGAATTTATCAATATAACTTCCAGAAGTTCTGACGCTATTTCAGCCGACGATGGAAAAGTGGTTAATGAAGTTTGAACCTGCAATAGAGAAAATTATAAAAACAGCATAAAATATCCGGTGTATAGTATATATTCATCTAAAATTCAGTATATTTATCCCCTTTTTTTAAATTTTTTTTTCTTTATTTGGAAGCATATCCATCTAAAATCCAATATATTTATCCCTTTTTTAAGGATTTTTTTTTTCCTATTTCGTCTTTATTTTTTCCACTTTCAGGGTGTCCTGTTCTGGCGTGTGCATTGATTCAGAGGCCCTCGTCACGCCCAAAGCCTTAACCACGAAGGATTTCACCGTCCATTGAAACCCACCCCACCCACCCCCCTCTCACTCTCTCACTCTCTCTCTCTCTCTCTCTCTCTCTCTCTCGCGCTATATAAACACAAACTGTGAATCATCATCGTCAAACTTTTATCCGTTTTAGCTGCACCCATTAACGGAGTTTTTGCAATTCTCTCTCTCTCTCTCTCTCTCAACAAAACGAATCACGCTCTAAATCACCATCGTCTCTTCGAAAGGCGTCCACTTAGCTACACCCCATTTCTTTGGAGTTCTTCTCATGGCGGTGACCGAAGCAAAACGTCGATGACCGAAGCAAAACGTCGAGACGGTCCAGACTTCTCTGCGCTGCCCGAAGGGTGCATCGCCAGCGTCGTCTCCTTCACGAGCCCCCCCGACGCGTGCAGGCTCGCGTCCGTCTCGCCGATTTTCAAGTCAGCGTGCGATTCCGACGCCGTCTGGGCGTCGTTCTTGCCTCCGGACTGGCGCCCGATGGTCTCCCGGAGCACTTCGTCGCTGAAGGAGCTCTACTTCAGCCTCTGCGACGACCCGGTTCTCGTCGGCGATGGCAAAATGGTAAGTGCCCCCCCGTCTTGCCACCTCAAACCGCCTCTTCCTATTATTTTTTCTATTATTTATTATTATTATTTTTTCTTTGCGGATAAAGGGCGTGATGTGTCGATAACTGTTCTTCATGTTAGATTTAATAGAATATTGAAATGTGTTTCATGTGATGTGCTGTCTCCTGCACGTTTCGAAACACTGCAAATTTGGCTTTGTTCTTCCATTGTCTGAGTAGTTGAATCGAAAGGCGGTGTCATCAGCACGTGTTTCTTGGCCTCTTCCCGCCTGAACCGAGCGAGTGCGCACTTTGTTTCTTCAAGGAGAAGCCACTGTCATATAATAATCATGCTGCGGCTTCCACTGGACATTTTTCTTTCGCACCCAGCCACGATCTGAATGTGAAAGGTTGATTGAATTGTATGAACCAACTCATGTTTTACGTCCCCAAGATCAAGAATGAATGATAAATGAAGGGTGAGGAAGAAAGAAAGGATCTTTCATCTGAAGATGACAATATTCAAATGGTTGGAGCAAAGAATGGGATTGATATATTGAATCACTCAATATACAGTGCCACGAGCATGAAGATTATCATTACTGTTGATATGGTACCTTGATGACCACTAATGCAATGCATCTTTTGGGGTGATCTGCATATGGCTTTAAGACTGTCCGCTACCTTATGGTTGATTCGGAGTTCAGAGTGAGTCTGCTTTTTATCTTCGGTCAATTGATCGAAATCCTCCTGAACTTTGTTAGCATCATTGCTCATTAGCCCCAAACTTTATTTTGGCACGGTTGAATAGTGGCCATGTAACTTTGAAGAATTGCAGATTACACCCTAATATTGATTTCTTTTTGTTGCCCTGGTTAGTTTTCCGTCTGCACAGCTGCTAAGTGTTACCTAAAAATGGATTAACTCATTTCTTTTGATCAATATTGCCTCTGCTGAATTTTCTTGACTTCATCAATCGTGTATCTTCTCTATTTTGTTAACTTTATTAACCATGTGATGGAGATCTTTTGGTATAAAAAAAATAATGATAACTAGGAAGTGTATTTTTCGTGTAATATTTAATGCCTCTATAGATAGACTAATTAGCGACTGCAACAAAAAATCAAATTTTAAGGCGTAATTTATAACTTCACAAAATTTTCAGGGGTCATTTTGCAATGGTTCTGAAGTTGAGGTGGTTTCGAACAATTGTCTCTTTTATTTTCTTTTGGTCAAATCTCATGTTATCGCTTTTATTTAACGTTAAACGTGTTTTCCTACTCCAAAGTTTGGCGAAAAAGTCGATAAAACAACTTTTGCTTAGGAAGGCCAAGACAAACACTCTCACTATTTTATTGGAAAGGGGACAGAACAGATGGTGGAATAAGTGCTAAGCTTTATTGCTTTGCGCATGCTGTATCTGCTGGAACACTGAATCTTGTTTTCTCAAAAGATGTCGGCCCGGGTTCTTGTTGCTTATGTGAATCCTACATGCTTTGCAGAGCTTTTCGCTGGACAGGCATAGTGGGAAGAAATGTATCATGTTATCTGCGAGGGCCCTGTCTATAACAGGGGGTGATACTCCAAGTAACTGGTCCTGGAATCACATGCCCAACTCCAGGTAATAAATTATTTCCTCCACTCTCTCACCTTCATGAAGAAAATGGGCGCAGCATTAATTTGTTTGTCCCAAAGTAAACTTTCTTTTGTTTCTCCTTCAAGGTGATGATCGTATGGAATGTGCTTGTGAATTAACAGGTTTGCAGAAGTTGCTGAACTCATGGAAGCAAATCGGCTTGAAATCAGAGGCACGATTAGTCCTCGCATGCTGTCGCCCAGAACCCTTTATGCAGCGTATTTGGTATTCAAACTCACCCTCACCCACAATAATGGATTTGAACTGCGGCTTTTTGAGGTTGGAGCTGGATTTGCTGGTGATGAAGTGGGCAAGCGTGAGCGCTATGTTCAGTTATCCAGAACGAAGAGATCGAGTGGACCGCCCCGGCGCCGCCACTGTGGCGTAATTCCACTAGCGCCCGATGAGGGGGATGGGAGCTATCCTAAAGAGAGACGAGATGGGTGGTCAGAGATAGAGTTAGGTGAATTCTTGACGGAGGATGGACAAGATGGGGAGGTTGCAATAAATGTCCTGGATACGAGGAGCGATTGGCGGATGGTTGGGCTGGTTGTGGAAGGGATCGAAATTAGGCCCAAGGATGGGAAATAAAAGCACCTTTATGCACGGCATGTGTATGCTTGTATGTGCCGTCCCTTGATTAATAGCTTATTCTCTCTGTTTTGCCGTTGCTCTTTCAATGATCTTCTATCAATTTTTGTTAGCTTTCTACCAAATCAGAAAGGGTGAGCTTGTGATCTATATTGACTTTAATGTAAGTGGGGAAAGCATATGTGATGGAACGAATAGTGTTTTGATCTGGTTTGCCAAGTCATTAATATGTTTGCTTGCGGAGCGAGTGGTTTGCAAACGCCCAATGCCTTCTGGGGAAATGATGGAACTTAGATGTAAGGCTTCCACTAGCTCTCACAGACACGCTCAAATACTGTGATCGGTTCCTTTTGAAACATCTGCAAAATGAATCCTCATCTTCCCACTCCAACCACCCCTGTTGGTACGGACGGGGGATATATGACTCCTTCGAGAACTTAGATGTAGCCATGATGCTGTGCCAATTAAAGCAAAGTTCAGTCTTTCCTTTTCAACAAGGAAAAATATTTTAGACAAATCCCAATAATCGATAGTGCTTTGTTTCAAACAAAAATAAGTTGTGTATAGCCAAAAAAAAAAAATCCCGTGTGCATGTTAACGCTTAAAAAAAACAAAGGGCTAAACTACTTGGCCTCTAGATGATCTATCCATAGATGTGTCAATTTTTTTAAAGTTGTCCTAGACATCGCATTGGATTAATTTTCAATCATCATTTTGAGCTAATGAAAAAAGATGAGTTGGGCCTATTAAAATTGGCAAAATCTGTGAGAACTGGATTGTTAATTACCCTATCAAACTAGCTCGTCGAATATGAATTTTCATATGATGAGGTGCACCCAACACACGTACGTACACACGATATAAAGTACGGTTTTCATGCAACATTTCCGAGGACTAGTTAGGAAGATGAACATACATAACTAGTTCACAAACGAATTTCAAATGATTGTTCGAAGAAAGTGGGTCATGCTTTGCATACTTACGACGTAGCCCTCGCTCAGCTATTTGCACAATCTAAACGCCAAGTGTGGAAACACGGGGGATTGGAATTCGTTCAAGAAAGGTGTTTTTGACGGAAATCGAAAAATATTAAGGAAAATTGTAATTGTATTACACTAACTGTTGTACATGTATACAAGTCTATTTATAGTACAAGAAAGATGAAAAGAGGAAAAAAAAATACAAGATAACGCCTTCCTACTTTACTGTCTAAATATCCAATATCACGGATTGATTGAATCAATTAGTCCATAATCAGATTCAGATCAGAGACAAATCAAATCAAATCAAATCAAATCAAATCATATCGTCAACTCCCCCTCAAGCTGGCGACTTATATATGTCGAGGACGCCTAGCTTGCTTAGTAGATATGCATGTTGTCTTTGATACTTGGTGAAAATATCTGCAAGTTGTTCTATAATCCCAATCCCTCTTGTTGCAGCTATCCCTTCTTGGATTTTTTCTCGAGTGAAATGACAATCAACCTCTACATATTTTGTTCTTTTTATGAAAGACTGGATTTGCCGCTAGTTTGAGTGCGACATCATTATCACAAAAAAATTCCCTTGGTCATCGACTTGTATACCAAGGTTTGAAAGTAAACCCCATATCCAGACTATTTTACAAACAATTTACGTCATAGCTTGATATTCTGATTCGGCCGATAATAATGATACGGTTGATTGCTTTTTTGTCTTCCATGAAATCAAGGATCTCCCTAATTTAATCCAAAAATCTGTGATAGATTTTCTGGTCATGGGACAAGTAGCATAATCCGTATCGCAATAGGTCGTCATCTTCATGTTGTAGTTACAAGATAAAAGGATTTCAAGTCCTGGGTATCCCTTTAAATATTTTACAACCTTTATTGCTGCATTCATATGGGACCGTTTCAGGCCATGCATGAATTGGCTGAGTATCTGCATTCCATAGCATATATTCGGCCTGGTCATGGTAAAATAGATCAGCTTCCCGACAAGTCGTTGATATCCTAACGGATCCTTAAGCAATGGATCTTCATAAGATGACGATGCACTCATATCATATTCAAGTGTCGTTAACTTGGCATTTTGTTCGATAGGTATGATAGTCGGTCCTGACATTCCTGCTTCTGATATAATTTCCAAAATAAATTTTCACTAACATAATCCTTTGTCGGACTAAGCTATCTCAATACCGAGGAAGTATTTGGGAGGTCCCAAATCTTTGATATGGAAAGTGGAATGCAGATATCCCTTAAACTTTCTGACAGCGGAGTCATTGTTTCCCATAATAAGTATATCATCAACATATATGAGTAAATAGAATGATGAATTACCTTTGATTCATGTGAATAGGGCATAGTCATGCTTGGAGTGTTGAAAACCTGCATTTGTTAGCGCGATGGTAAACTTGGCATACTATTGCCAAGAAGCATGCTTAAGTCCATATAGGGATTTACTAAGACGACATGCCCAAGACTCTCCTTGTCTTCGTAAACCTGTGGGAATATACAAAAAATAGAATGCGCATTCATAACAGAAGTATCCCCATATCGGGATGGCGAATAATAAATACTGAACACAACTCAAAATCACAGCAAAAAAAAGCGAGGAGAGAGAGAGAGAGAGAGAGAGAGAGAGAGAGAGAGAGAGAGAGAGAGAGAGAGAGTACTGTTTGTTTGAAGTCGTTGGGACTCGTGACTTTTATTGGTGAGTAATGGACGGTAGATTAGGGCTTAAGATGGAGTGATAATGGTGGCCATTGCTTGCGAATAACACAGGTAAAGAAGATGAAGAGGTGCTGCGTCGGTCGTGTGCGAGGGTAGATGGAAGAATAGAACAACGATTGGTATAGAGGGACAGGACAAGAGAATAAGTGACAGTGTGAGGACGAAGAAAGAAAAAAAAAACCCTATCTTTAGAAAGAAAAGACTACATTTTATAGAAAAGACACGATTCTTATCGTGACTGAGTTATAAAATTGTAATTTTTTTAAGTATAGAAAGGGTACCTTTTTTCGCGCGCGCGCGCACACTCACACACACATATATATATATATATATATATATATATATATATATATATATATATATAAAATAAGGCAAGACGGGACGGTGCGATAATTTTTATCTGTTCCCATCCCTCTCTTGGGACAAGGAACAACCATTTCTTCCGTATTCCTGTCTCACACCATACATGGAGCGCTTGACAGGTTCCAGTAAGGTGGGGATATTTTACTATTATTTAAAACTTTATTTGTTTCGTGAAAAATGAAAAATTTAAAAAATATTTTCATAAAAATGATGGTTTATATCGCTTACAAAAATGAGTGAATAAAAATATTTTCACCATTCACGAAAATATTTAGACATATGTTGTTGTCAATAATGAAAATATTTTTTCCTTAAGGCTCCGTTTGTTTCACGGAAAATATATAATCTCTAGAAAACATTTTCCAAGAAGTCATTTTTAGGACGATAACTTCATTTTTCGGTGTTTGGTTGAAAGCTAAAAAGGACCCGAAAATTATTTTCTAGAGTTTGGTAACGAAAATCCGATGAGGAAAATTATTAAAAAATTTGTATTTTTAAATTATTTTTCAATATATTAATTTTTTTTAGTTTAAATTAATTGAATTTTTATTTTCTTTCTTTTTCTTCTTCCTTGGCCGGTCGCAGGCCATGAAAAAGAAAAAAAAAAAAGAAAGAAAAAAAAATAATTAAAATTTCAAATTAAAAAAAATTTATTAAGGCCCTGCTTGTTTCACGGATAACAATTCTCAAGAAATTATTTTCCAAATTTTCCGGCGTTTGGTTTACGGAAAATAAACTAATCACAGAAAACATTTTCCGTCAATGGAAAAAATACATTCAAAAGTGGAGAAAATGAAAAGAGGAAATCATTTTCCTCCTCTCATTTTCACCCATACCAAACGTGTTCTCCTCCCTTGCACTAATTTTAAATTATTTTTTTTAAATCAAAATTTTAATTAATTTCTTTTTCTTCGTTTTCTTTTAGCAACTGGCCATAGGCGAGCTCAAGCCTCGCCTAAGGTCGGTGAGCTTAGCCTCACTGGCCTGTGGCGAGGCTCGAGCTCGCCGATCGGGCGAGGTTCAAGCCTCGCCAACCTCTGGCGAGCTCAACCCTTGTCGGCCTATGGCGAGCTCTACCTCGCCGAATCTTGCGAGGTGGAGCCTCGCCAGCTCGGCTCGTCGGTATTTGGTGAGCTTGTCCATCGCGAGCCAGTCGGGGACAAACCGCTAGAGAAAGGAGACAAGGATGGTGGCGAGGAAGTAGAGGAAAAAGCGGAACATGGGTATGGAGACTGTGAAGGAGGAGGCCATGGATTCCATGTCGAGCTCGATGGTGGTGGTGGTTGCGTCGAAGCGATGGAAAAGAAGAAGGAAAAAGAAAAAGAAAGAAAAGAAGTACAAAATAAAAGGAAATTAAAAATAAAAATAAATAAAAAATTTGAATTTGTTTAAATAATTTTTCCAGGAAAAATCAAATCAGATTCTTCATACCAAACATTATAAAATATTTTCTAACTTATTTTAAGGTTTCAGCCAAATACCGAAAAACATTTTCGAAAAAATGCTAACACCCGAAATATTAAACCCTAAAACTCTAGACTCTAAACCCCAAAACCCAAACTTAAAACCCGAAACACTAAAACCTAAACCCTAAACTTAAATCAGAGAAATTCTAGAATTAGTGGACATAGAGTTACTATATGACTGTCGCAACCGACCTCCCGGCTTTTTTCACAGACATGCAAAAAAAGGGGGTTTCGCCTGGTACGTGCTAAGTCTAGGTTCGGGACTTAACTCGGGCTCTCTCAAGCCCATACCATATCGCGACTTACGATTTAAGTTTTTTTAACATGCGAGTGGTTTATATCAAGGAGTCGCCACTAATCGATTTTGGGTGGGTCGATTAGAAACCCAAATAGGGTGATGGGAGAATCACCCTATTCCTACGAACCAGGGATTAACTGAGTTCGGGGACTTGGTTACACTAGTTGGATAACTAATGCCCTTTCGGTACCTTTTTACCCTGTTCATTTTTGAAAACATTTGTCAGGCAATTTGGATTGATTTTAGGACTTTTCTCCTAACATGTGAGGTGATCAAGCGAGTGCATAATCATAGACGATCAGCAGTCAAAATAGATATGCAGCCTTAGGTTCTAACCCTAACTAAGTCAGATGACATTCAAAACACAACGGTTCATGCAATTG